CTCTGTGTGTGACCCTGTCTGTTATCTCTCAACTGGCTCAGTGTACAGGCTCTGCTCCTGACTTGCTATGCCAGTGTCTGCAAGAGTTCCCATCTTCCTGAGCACATGGATTTCCGGGATAGGAAACTGATGCTAAACATTATATAACCCCACCCACCCCACTGGATGGAACTGTTGCTTTGGTTATAGATCTGTGCAAATGCTTGGCAAACCATATCAGTTTAAGCAGGAACTGATGGGCGCTGAAGAATTAAGGAGGCAGCCTCCTCTTATGAAGTTTTATTGCACTCTTCCATGGTAAGCCTAGCAAAGCACTAGGAAACCAAGATAAAAGCACAGAAGAGTTAAGTAAAGCCCAGAGACTTCATGGTAAAAAGCACACTAAAGCCCAGAGAAAATGTGGTAAAAGAAGAGTAATGTGCAGTAAAGCATAAGTCAAAACACAGTGCAAACACAGTAAAATAACGGCAAAAGCAGCGCAATAAAGCCTAGTGCAGTAACGCCCAAGGGAAGCCACGGGAAAGTGGAATTAATTTGGGCAAAAACAACCAGCAGCTCATTTTTAGAAAGATTATTGATTTTATTCGGTGATAATTTATTAATGTACACAATCCGTTTTCCTAGATTGGGACAATTCCTATTTACCCTCACTTTCAGAAAATACGGTGCAGGTTCCGCCCCTGGGGGGGTTAAAATGATGCCCGTGAGGCTCTGTCGGGGCGAGACTGGTCTTTGACGTCCTCCCTTATCTGCACGCCAACGTTCCCCCTCACGTCATCGATGTGGCCCGCGGCCGCCGCGTGACGGGACCCTGAACCTTACTCTCTCCGCGCGTGACAACCTGCCTTGCACGCGGACGCTAGTCAATCCCGTTGCCTGTGGTACTTGATAATTTCGGCCTTTGCGCTTTTAAAGGACAAGTCTGGGCAGGCCGAGACGGAGATCCGTGCAAACCTACATCCTCCTGGCTGTAGAGGACCTGCTGCTGTATGTTACAATGTTGCGTTTGCGCATTGACTGTACGCCCGGGACAGTGCTTAAACACCCGCGAAGGTTTCTGCGTATTTATCGGAAATACGTGATATATCCAATAAAGTACCCTTACACTTAAGCCTCTTTTTCTGGACACTCCACTCCAAGCGCTTTACAGGTCATGGGGATCCCCTCCAGCACCACCAGTGTGCAGCCCCACCTGGATGATGCGCCAGTCCACTCCCCATACACCAGCTCTCAGTGGGGAGGAGAGCAGAGAGATGAAGCCAGTTCAGGGATGGGGATTATTAGGAGGCCATGATGGGTAAAGACCAGGGGGGAATTTGGAAATTTGCCGAGGATACTGGAGTAACACGTAAATGGCCACGGACTGATAAACAGCTGAGCGTTGGAGTTAAATCATAATATTGTAGTGTTGTTGTATTGTATGATGCCGTATATGTCATATGTTTACGAGCTCTTGGTGTACAAGACAAATTCCCTTGTAGGGGCACGATAAATGTTCGTTTAATGCAAACAATTTATCTCTGCAACCCGACGCGTCGTACCTTTGTCCACACAACGGGGCCGGCGTGCGTCTGCGGGCGTTCATTCCAACTGAGCTCTCCGCCAGCTGAAACAGCAGGTCCCTCGGCTTTCCGGATCCAGTCAACAGATTCTCGGGGCTGCTCAAGGTGCTGCACCTGAAAAGAGGCTTTAAAAAACGCGCGCACCGACCCTTCCACACCAGAACTGGACAACCCAGCCTTTGTAGAATTCAGCCAGGACTCGTCTCCTCATGTTTAAAGCAGGGAGCAGAGCTACAGTATTGTTGGACTTTGGTAGGGACACATTTAGCTGTCTGAAGAGTGGTATTCGCCAACAGCTGAACATCAGAATACGCATTCTGTCTTGGCGTTTAAGTAGAAGTATTAATACGTAACACACGGGTGCTTTTAAATTCCGAGTCACGACTGAACTCTGCGTTTCGCTGGCTTGCCAAAGGATTGTGAAGCAGAGCAGCGATGAAACTCATTTGCACCCTGAATAAATGCTTCCTCGCGCGATTTACACCTGGGTGGTCTTTTCGCCCCTAACTGACCCCACCCAGACTCCGCGACTCCGCTGTCAGGTCTTGCGACTGTAGGATTGAGTTACACTGTTCCACTGGGATCCACCTGCCTGAGGAATTAACAAACAACCCCCCCAATCAGGCAGAAAAATGCTGCTTTCTGTTGTCTTCCTGCGAAGAGTTTCCTCTGCCTTTAGGACGGTCTTGAAAACTGATCTTAAAAAATTAAAACAGGGCTGCAGTCTGTGGGTTTTCATTCCAAGCCAGAACTCAATGAGCTCATCAACTCGTATTTTGCGAGTATTTGCGATATTGACCAACGTCCTCCAGCTCTTCACTGCTGCAACTTTAAAGGAGGAAGCGTCTAAAAAACCACAGACACCTCAGTTGTACATAACCCGAGCTCAATCGCCGATGGTTCAAAACGAGACGAGTTACAACAGAAATACGTCATAAAAATGGGCTATATAAGTGTAAGATATTATTATTATTATTATTAGTAGTAGTAGTATTTAGCAGCAGCAGTAATATATTGTTGTTAAATGAGACCAGGCCTCACTTTTTGTATCACACAAGACGGTAGTGTAAGAGCGGCTATCTAGCTTGTTTTCCAGCAGAATCACGCACAGGTTATTATAATAAACTTTGATGATATTTATATGCTTTACAGCGTGTTTAGTATCATAATAATCCAATCGGAAAGGATTCTCCACACAACAGGGGCTGGAGCACGGAATCCCCTCGGATTCACTGAACAGGGAAAATGAACTCACGGACGCGCTCACGACAAGAGTCCATCACTCTCACCGCTTCGGGAACCACCCAGAGCCGGGGGCGGGTGGGCACACCGCTGCCTCTCTGTAGGGCTCCCACAGCCCGACAGCGCAGTGCCGACCACCTCTCCCCGGCTTCTCCGTCCCACTCGGGGCCCGGCGGTCGCGGGGGATAATTAGTGTGGGCTCGGAATCGAACCGGAGCCACACGAGGTCATTATCGCGAAGTCGCCCCCACGGGGGAGCGCACAGCGGGACAGAGCATGAACGCGAGGGGCGACGCCGACAGAGGAACGAGACCATCAGCTATCTGGAGCTTTAAAAGATGCAAGGCGAGTCTATAAACATTTTATCCAATAAAGGAGCACTGTAGTGCTGAAAGCACGCTGCCAGATCGTCTGACACAATCTTTGCCGGATCTCGCCTGAAGCTGTGGCACCTGGCGCAAACATCCAACGAGCAAGACCGTTCCGTGCACAGGGGAGAAAATAAAATACCAGAACGATTACAGCTCCACTGACAGCGTTTTTATTTACAGATGACCTGTGCACGTGTCTTACAGCGGCCGTGCGGACAGCCCGTGACACAACCGAACACACAAAAACAAGGAACACTTAACACGCTTAGTACAGTTGGAACAGCGGCCGCGGCGTTACCAGGCCTCCAGTTTTAAGGTGAAAGCAGGACCACACTGTAAATAGACAGGATCGTAACAACATTCAGTCTTAAATACACAGAACCGTAAAGACAATGAGGGAACGCACGATGACTGTGTGTCACTTCTTATACTTGTACAGCCATGCATTAAAGCTGGAATCCGGTCAAGATGCAACGTTTACAGAGAGCATTCACGAGTACAGTAGCCAACAGCTACAGTATATCACCCTGCAACTCACAACTAACAATACACTGAGCCTGGTCAGTAGCGGGATGGGAGACTCCTGGGAAAGCTAAGGTTGCTGCTGGAAGAGGTTAATTGAGCCACTAGGGGGCGCTACCCCCGTAGGTCCTACTGTCCCAGTACAGTGACGGGACACTACACTGTAAAAGGGCATCTTCCTTCTGATGAGATATAAAACTGAAGTCCTGACTCTCCAGTAGGGGGAGTTCACCCTGTGGTCTGTGAGGGTCCTAATGCCCCAGTATAGTGACAGGGACACTATACTGTAAAAAAAAGGTGCCGTCCTTCGGATGAGATGTAAAACCGAGGTCCTGACTCTCTGTGGGCATTAAAAATCCCAGGGTGTTACTTGAGAAGAGTAGGGGTGTTACCCTGGTGTCCTGGCCAAATTTCCCCCTGGCCTTTACCAGTCATGGCCTCCTAATAATCATCCTCTCTGAACTGGCTTCATCACTCTGCTCTCCTCCCCACTGAGAGCTGGTGTGTGGGGAGCAAACTGGCGCATCATCCAGGTGGAGCTGCACACTGGTGGTGGTGGAGGGGATCCCCATTGCCTGTAAAGTGCCTTGAGTGGTCCAGAAAAATACTATATAAGTGTAAAGATTATTTGTAATTTGATTTTTTTAAAGACTTGCACATGTTAACTCACACTTGTAAGGCAACTAATTAGTATTGAAGCACTTCAGTATGATTTGGAGCTCAGCTGTACTGAAATCCAGGAGTCTCCTTCCTGATTCATATTTTGGTAGTGTGTATTTGCCTGGTGAGGCAGTGTTGTGATGTTATCTGGTGTTGTTAGCTGACCATTCTTGCACAACATGCACTTTGAATGGGCTTCTCATCTCTAAGGAAGTGACTGGGGGAAGCATTTCAGTGTTGCACCACAATAGCGCAACATTCAAATGACCAAAGAGACCATCCCTCTGTATACTTGCCAACAAATCCAATTCCCCTTTGCTCTCCATGTGAACATCACAGATATCACAGATAGCCGCAGAGAAAACAAAGGAGTGTTTCAGAAACCAGGAAATGATCTTTCTGCAAAACTTCCTTAATCTTCTCACATGGTTCAATCTTCTCAATCCTTATTCAAAGAGTGAACATTTACTTTCTCCTGTTTCATGTTTTTAAATACAAGGGGTAGTAGCCTCACTATTACACCCTTAAATGTCCTGTTCTTTTATCATTTTTTTTTTTTTTTTTATTTTGCAAGAGTCTCGCTGAGTACAATTACACAGGACTAAGCGTCTTTCTCCTGCCCTCTCCCCCCCACACACACCTGCCCCTGACTTAAACCAGGACTTCAATACACCCCCCACACCTTTCGCAAATTCTGTGCACGTTCTCAGATGGCGGCTCTGTGCATCTTCTCCACAGGGAAGACAGACATTTTGATTTCATCTGGTTTCAAACCGATTGGCCGGCAAGCTGATCTATCCATTACTATGTGTCACTACATAGGTTACATGATCTAAGCACTGCATAGAGGCTTAGGCTGCTATAATCTGAACACGGATAACGAGGGGATTCTCATCGCATTGCAGATTAAACAGTTACAGTTGTCACAAGCATCACAATCTTGTATATGAGACAATTCCAGGTGCTGAATAAGACACATGTGTTATTTTGCATGCAGAAGCATTCTGGCTGCGATACAAATATGATGCCAACTGTAAGTACTTGGAAGCTACAGGGTTTTCACTTGCTGCATGAGGGACTGTAGTGAGTAAAACCCGACCTGGATTAAACTGCTAAGCAATGGGAGTCTTGTTTCCCTCCTTTTTTTAAGTTCTCCACTTCTTCAGTTTTTTCCATTATACACAAAGTTACTGGGTTGTCCCGAAGTTCCAGTGCTGGGGTTGTTCTCAAGGGGTTCCGTTAATCAGGGGACTGGAGTGTCTCTGGTTGCTGGTGGCGGTCAGTGAGGGGACGTTGGACCTCTTGGTGTAGGAGAGCAAGGCTGGCACGCTCTGGCTGTCCACGTTGTTGAGTGGAATGGTCACTTGCCCGTCCGAGTGTTCCAGGCCCACGGTGGACAGGCAGGACTTGAACACGGAGGCGGTGGACAACCTCCACAGCAGGTTCTTCAGCGCCTTCCTGAACTCCTGCCGCATCAGGCAGTAGATGACGGGGTTGAGGCAGCTGTTGGCGTGAGCCAGGCAGAGGGAGACGGGGAAGCAAAAGGTGTGGGCGAAGTAGAAGGCGCCGTCAAACTGCAGCACGTCCAGCTTGACCAGGACGCCCCAGAAGGTCATGACCTGGTTGGGCAGCCAGCTGAAGAAGAAGGCGAGGACCACCACCGCCACCGACTTGGTGACCCGCGTCTGCCTCTGGGGGTTCAGAGAGCTGCTGTGGTTGGCCAGGAACCTGAGCAGCAAGAGGTAGGAGACGAGGATGATGCCGTAAGGGAGGAGGAAGCCCAGGGCGATCCGCAGGAGGTGGTAGGCGGCCAACCAGGACGCGCCTCCTGGGAATCGGAGGAGGCAGGCCGGCTCTCCTCCGACCGTGGCCAGGGAGGAGAAGACGAAGACGGGCAACGCGGCCAGCCAGGAGGCCCCCCAGATCAGGCCGGTCACCAGCTTGGCGGCGCACGCCGTCTGCACCCGAGGGCGGAGTGGCTGCAGGGCGGTGGCCACCGTGCAGTAGCGGGTCACGCTCATGGCGGTCAGGAAGAAGACGCTGGCGTAGACGTTGACCATGTTCACCAGCGACACCAGCTTGCACATGAAGTGCCCGAAGGGCCAGCTGAAGTCCAGGGCCACCTCCGCCGCCCAGAACGGGAGAATGAGCGAGAACTGCAGGTCGGCGAAGGCCAGGTTGAAGACGAAGACGTTGATGGTGGACTTCTCCGTGCTCTTGCTGGAGCGCAGCAGGTACAGCACCAGCAGGTTGCCCATCAGCCCCACGGCGCTCACCAGACAGTAGACCAGGGAAATTGCGGTAAGCAGCGCTGGGGATCCATCCCCCGGCACCCCGATGACGTCCAGGCTGTCGTAATTGTGGTACTGTAACTCGGAGATGTTGCAAGCCGCAGTTCTCTGGCACAGCGTCAGAGACTCATTCAGCTGGTGGAGCGAATCAAGGTCGGTGGGCCTGGCCATCCTCTCCGCTACGGAGCCCATAATTTGTCCAATCTCCCCTTCCGGAAACACTGCTCGGGGGCCGACAGCCACAAGGAATCCCGTGCTGGTACAGTCTGCTCCTGTGCTCTCACAGCCCGGGGAATGGGAGCTGGGAAGGATCTCCGGCTGGTGTGGACGAGGTTTCCTTGGAGCTGGAATTTGGGGTGAAGCTCTCAGGTCATCTCACGGACAGGCATGGGATAGTGGGCTGGTCACTACCATAGCAGGCACTCCTGGAAAAGAAAGAAGCCTATTCAAGTAATAATAATAATAATAATAATAATTCCTTACACTTATACCATAGCACATTTCTGGACACTCCACTCAAAGCTCTGTACAGGTAATGGGGATCCCCTCCACCACCACCAGTGTGCAGCCCCACCTGGATGATGCGCCAGTACTCTCCCCACACACAAGCTCTCAGTGGGGAGGAGAGCAGAGTGATGAAGCCAGTTCAGAGAGGGGGATTATTAGGAGGCCATGACTGGTAAAGACCAGGGGGGAATTTGGCCAGGACGCTAGGGTTACACCCCTACCGTTATATAGAAACACCCTGGGATATTTAATGACCACAGAGAGTCAGGACCTCAGTTTTATGCCTCATCCGAAGGGCGGTGCCTTTTTACAGTATAGTGTCCCCGTCACTATACTGGGGCATTAGGACCCACACAGACCTCAAGGTGAGCGCCCCCTACTGACCCCACTAACACCTCTTCCAGCAGCAGCCTCAGCTCACCCAGGAGTCTCCCATCCAGATACTGGCCAGGCTCACAGCTGCTGAGCTCCAGTGGCTTTCCCACTGTGTACTGAACTTGTGATGATGGTTGCTGCTGGGCTTAGTAGATTGCAAACATTTATTGACAGGCCCCGGTAAACTCTCACATGGAAAAACCCATAAGCTTCCCACTGTACACACTTTATCTCATCGGATCTCATAATGCCTTAATCATCAGATGATGGCATTACCCTTGGTCTTTATCCCTTCTAGAAAAATTTCCTGTTCTGTTAATGCAACACAAAGACATTTTTATTCATTTTGTAAACACAGTGCTCACGACCATTATAATCTAAAGCTTAATGTGCATTAATTACCTATTTCCATCCTTTTTTGCACGATATTGCCAGCAGCCATTGCACTGAATTGCAATACGTTTGTTCCCCCATTGAATTAAACAGGGGGCTTTTAAAATGCAGGCAGCTGTGTGGCGTTGGCAGGTCAGGTATGACCCACCCCAGCTGTAGGACCATCGGATCGGAGGTGGGGGTTCAAGACAGTAGGCTCCGATTTCAATTAAAACGGCTGGGGTTTAGTGATGCCGTGTGGAAGACGTTTACGCTGTCAGTTCCAATCATGCGTGAGATTCGGCAACAGCACGGTAAACACCGCCGCGGACAAACATATTAACTGCAAATGAAAAAGTGGGGAAACTATACATAGTAATACCTTGCTGTGCGCGAATTCACCTTACGTGGTTTTGAGGATCCGCGTGAAATTTTCTATATACCATATTTCCTCGTGCGACCCCCCAGATTCTGAGTGTCTGCGGGGGGTGGAAGAGCGAGCGAGCAGCCGGGAGATCCGCTCTCGCTCTTTCTCAGTCCGCCTCCTGCCCGAGAGGGACTCGCCCGACATTTCTCTCGCATTCTTGAAGTGCTCTGCGCATATCAGTGCACTGTACTGCACTGGGCTTTGATGGTTACTGACATTTGCAAATGCAGATTGCGGCAGTGACTTATTTCTGAAATAAAAAGTGATATTCCATCGCTAAATAGTAATACATTAATATCTTAAAAGGGCTCTGTGAGAGGGAGTATGAGAAATGAGAAAAGGTGAAGAGTACTGTGTTTGCAAGCGATTTAGATCCGTGATGAACGTAGAAGGAAAATTTGTTTTAGTTGACTCTGATGTTATTGTTTTACTTTAAAAAAGTGTTAAAAAAAACGTTTGAGGGATTTAAATAGCCGAATCGTGACTTCAAATCCCCTAACCCTATTCTTTTCCACAACGGAACCTTCGTGGCTGGCAGGACGGTGCTGTTTGTTAAGTCCGTGCCATATTACCAAACACCCAGAGAAACCGAATCAAATAATTATCAGTCTCTTTGGAAAATACTCCCCACGCAAAACACAATGGGAGCTATTTCGAGGATTTCCTGTTAAATAAGAGGGCATGCCGAGCGACAGCTTTCCTTTGTAGATGAAACCCGAACCACGTGGGACCTGGAGCAGTGATCGCATAAGAATTAGACCCACAACAGCGGGGTCGGTGTCATCTGAGCTTTTTCTGGAGCACCTGGAGAAAGCTTTCCTTTCTTGTGACCCTCTGTGTGCAGATCCAGACGCATGCGACGGGCTGAGCTGGGAGTTTCACAGGAAGAAACACACCACGGTAGGCTCCCGGGCATTTTACTTGAGCAAGCCAGGCGATGGAGCTGTGTCAACACCAGGGATTTGAACCCGCAACCCTTTCGTAAAAAAAGCACTGACCCCTCCCTGCTGCTCCAGTTTAGCAATGCCTTAGCTAGACATCAACCTCAGGTCAGCTAATAGATAGCATCCAGTATACCACCAAATGACACTGCAGTTTTAACCCCAGTGTCCAGGATATAAGATCAGATCACTTTATTGTCCCTATACAATTTCTTGCATTATGAATTTGTCTTTTTCGCATACCCCAGCTTGCTCTCCATGAGACACACATACAGAGAAGCTGGGGGTCAGAGCGCAGGGTCAGCCATTGTACAGCGCCCCTGGAGCAGCTGGGGTGAAGGGCCTTGCTCAGAGGCCCAATGGAGTAGGATTCCTCTGCCGGTCACAGGATTTGAACCAGCAACCTTCCTGCCACAGATCCTTAGCCACAGTCCCACCACTCTGCCCAGTGGATATATTCCACTGTGTACTGGCTCGTGCTCTCCTTATTGAGATCCCTCTTAATCCACCTGCTGCAGCAGTGTCTCTCTCCTGCCCCGACCCTTCTCCTCTGTGGGGGATGAGGTGGGTGCCCTGACATATGTACAGCCCCTGGAGACCCTTTGGGATATAGGACACTGTCCTGATGAGAGGAACTCTGACGCTGTGCTCTCAAACTGCTTAGTGACACATCGTTGAAAACGACGACCCATACAGGATGGAAATGTCTGCAGAGTCAGAACAAGACCGAGGACGATATCCAGACCCAGGGACCCCTGATGACATGGCAAGATTCATTAACCTCTGACCTAAGGCACCCCAATCTGGGGTCTGAAGGGGAGGTTACTACTGTCCCTCGAACCCCAGCACACTGATGTAGTGTACTGTATCTGCAATACCTGTTATACATATTGCAGGAATAATACTTTTTTTTCTGAAGGCTAGTGTAACATATAGTATGTCATAGGAATAAAAAAAAATTCACACAGCAATGTTATTAAAATTTACATCATTCCGTTTTCTAAAGACTTTCTATACCGGGTCGCGGGGGAATCGGTGTCTATCCCGGAAAGCTTAACATTAACATGGTTTTTATTGAATATAGTCCTTACAAATTACAGCAAAAATGAATCTGCAACTACTCCGCGGAATACCAGTCGCCGAGTATTGCTACCTCGCGTTAACTCGAAGAGTTCACCGACTTTGCAAGGTTACAAAATGCAGAATTGACTTGTCCTTGATAAATTCTTTTTCACGATTTACGATTTCGGCGTAAATATAACCGAGAAAAGTTGTTCCAGTGAACTGTATACATTTATATTCCGCCCCAGTCACATACTGTGGTTTCAATGTAAATCAGAGATAAAGCGACTACGGCAAACTTTTTCATAACAGCTGATAAAAATTGTTGAATAAATGCCGGCCGTTGCAACTTTACAGAAGCGGTCAGGACCTAATACCACGTCACAGGTTTTGAAATATTCATATTTGGGAACAATAATAGCTGGATTTGATCATTTCAAACCCGCAGCGTGTTTTCAGGACTGACTGACCGGCGACCCAGTCCACCCGGAGACCTAGGAGGCTTGCGAGATAAAACGCCGTTTTCAAACGGACCGGCTAACGCGCAGTATTATCACCGCGGCGGTCAGCGCCCGAACCGGGCTACAGTCGACAGCAACTCACACCTGGCAAACCACGGCAAACGGACTCCAAACCTGCTCCTGTTTCGGGCGCTGGAGCTCAGGAAGAATAAATCCGTCGCAATCCCGCGTACAATCCCGAAGAGTTACCGTTGCGAAAAGTACAAAGAATTATGTTTATGCCGCTAAACCATCCGCCTTCAAAAGGAGAAAGGTAGTCTAACGGACTCCTCAGAAGCGGTTTTTTTCCCCCGGAAAGGCATTTACTTGTCTCTGTGTCTGCTCCATTGTCTAATTCTTTCGTATATGTCCTTCGCTTGTAATTTGCTATCGTTGTGACTGATTTTTCCCTACACCAACTGTTAAGCGCTGTGAGATATTACTTTTAAAGGCGCTATATAAAGTTGTATTATTATGATGATGATGATGATGATGATGATGATGATAGAACAAGGTTTATTCCAGGCTGAAAAGAGAAGAAACGAAACAACGTTTCGGCTGTGGAGCCTTCTTCGGAGTCAGCCGAGCCACCCACTCCAACTACTTTCATGAATTATTATTTTTATGATGATGATGATGATGGTGATGATGCTGAAATCGGTGGGTCTCACCTGGTCTGCGCTGTCCTAGTGGCGAGAAGGCGACTCTCAGTCAGTCCTCCGCACTAAGACTCCAGCGCTCTCCGGTGGGGTCTAACCCGTGTGTGATGTACAGGAGAGAGGAGGGGATGCGATGGGCTCCGGCGGTGTCTGCGTCATTTATAGGAGTCGAACCGGCTCCGACCCCCCTCCTCCCGCGCGCCACAGGTCAGCGCGAGGGGATGGAGATAAATTCGTTAAGCTCTCGAGTTTTACGAGGCTGTAGCTCCTGTTTTCCCTGCGTCTGTAATGTTACCCCCCCGCCCCATCTCTCTTCCCAGTAAAGTTTAACCATCCAGGAGCCGATCTGAAGAGAGAGGGCTGGTTTGAGGACGGGCAGAAGAACGAAGACAAAAACAGAAGCCAGATTCGAGACGGTACTACCTGGCGCACCCGGGTCCGATAATCTACACTACTGTTATATAATTGTCTCGTTCTTTTTTGACGGAAAAAAAA